TACCCTTTCTATGGGTGCGTCATGTAGTTTATAAGCCATATTTAAAGGACATCGTTTTCGTGTATAAGTAATAACTTTGCATTTATCTGTATTAAATGGAAGACGATTAAGTTCACTCCATTCAGCCACAGCAGAAATATCTTCTTGCAAGGTTTGAGAGTCCGATACAGAACTAACCCCCAAAGACAACTTGAGATCATCAGCAAAAAGAAGACATTTCGAAGATCCAACACCAATCGGCAAATCATTGATAAGGATCAGGAATAGCGTTGGTCCCAGGGTACTGCCCTGGCTAACACCGGACCTTGTATAGTAGTCACTAGACTCGAAACCGTTAACTCTTACAAACTGGCACCGATTTCGTAGGTAGCTAGAAAAAAAATCTAATAGTTTAGGTGTAAAGCCCATTATTGCTAATTTTTGCAACAAAATATCATTATCCACCAGGTCGAACGCTTTTTTGAAGTCAAAATAGGCGGTGTCGACCTGTCTGCCCGCATCCATTTCCGCATACGCGTAGTCCACATGAGCCACAAGATTAGAGGTAGTGGAACGAGCACTACGGAAACCGTGCTGGCAGTCATGTAAAAAAAATTGTATCTGCTTATTAATACGATGACCCAGAATTGTCTCGAAGATCTTAGCGAAGACAGATAGAACTGCGATAGGTCTAAAGTTCGAAATATTGTTACCGGCTTGTCCCTTTGGGACTGGGGTTACTCTGGTTAGTTTCCAAGTCGCAGGATACACTGAGAGTTTCAGAGATAGATTGAAAAGAAATAGGAGCGGCTTTTCGAGAAGTGAAATGCAATCCTTTGCCAAAAATACCGGGATACTATCAGAACCTCCCGCAGATCTTGGCTTGAGGCGCTTTACCGCTAACTTCAAATCGGATGCGTCAACCTGCCCGATTGAAATAAAAGTGGCGTCTGCCTGCATGTGACCTGCACGAGCAGCCTCAGTTGGATTCAAGCGAGGTACCTCGGCAAGAAATACTGAGCTGAAGTAATCAGCAAAAGCGTTAGCCGCAGCCTGGCCGGTCACCTCCTCTACCTTATGTAAATAAGTACCGACAGGTTGGCGGTCCTTTCTTTTATCTTTAATATATGTCCAGAATTGAGTAGGGTCGTCAATTATATTATTTTGCATCAAATTTAAGTGCTGCTTATAAGCATTGTCAATAAGATTTTTAACATGCCACCTATAATATTTAAACATTTCTTTGTTAAATTCCTTACCTTCGGCCTTGTAACGTTTCAAATGATAATATTTAGTTTTAATGCAAGTTATGATTTCTTTTGTATACCATTTCGGATAAATGTATTTGTTATGTCTGATACGAGGACCCTTTGGCGGCACGAAACGGTCAATACAACTGTATATTTTATTATAGAACAGGTCAACGGCTGAGTCAATATCAGATGTGGCAAATAAGTCACACCAATCCAGCTCATTCAGAGCCGCATAGAGACTTGGATAGTCAGCCCTACGCCAATTCCAGTCGGGGCTAGAACCAGAGCACGAGGAGGGCTGAGGTAGGGTTGATGGCGGCACTGATCCACCACACGAGAACTTGACAAATACCTCTAAAGGAGGGTGATATAAATCAATTGGTACTAGCGGTTCAGCACCAGCTAAAACCTGAATCTGATCAGGGTTCATACTGCTCAACACCAGATCCAGCATACCGCCGCGACTATTATATACTTTATTATGTTGCTGTAGTCCACAAACGTCACAAAACAAATCAAAATTAAATTTCACATTGGCACTAAAAGAATTTAGATTAAAATCGCCAATTACCAAAATATTCATATTTGCGTAAGTCAGAATTGCATTTTCGATACATGTCAAGACGTTCAAGTATTGATCATCCCTGTAGCTGGGAGACAAGTAAACTACACAACACAACAATTTGAATTTTTTGTAGCTAATTATGGCGCAGACCAATTCCATTTCAGACGTCTGAGCATCAATATCTGTTATCTCACGCACCGAATAACAGTCTTTCACTGCGAGTAACACCCCACCCCAACCACAGTCACCTGAACGATCCTTCCGTATTACCGCGTAGTTAGGGGGGAAAAGTTCGCCGTCTGATATGGAACTAGTCAAGAATGTTTCTGTCAACGCTATAACATCAAAGCCATTCTGGGCTACATTGTTTAAGAAAATATTAGTTTTTGAGCGCAAACCCCGTACATTTTGGTAACACATATTCAGAGACTTAACTTTAGAAGCAGCACGCTCACATACTTTTTCCTTTAGCACGAAAGTTCTGACGCCACGGTTTCACACAAATATCTTCAGCCCAATTTGACGGCGACATGACAGTATCTGCGAACTTTGACGGTACACCAAGCTTAAACGATGCGTATCGTCCTCGTGACTTTAACGATTCAACCGTACAGATTTCAGTTCCACAGATGGAATGAAGATGAGCAAGTACCTGCTCAACAGTAGTGCCTTCCTGTACATAAAACAGATGTAAATACCTCCATCGCTCTGAAGCTCGTAATGTCATGGTCTCTGGCGCCGCAGTGCCTCGACGCAAGCCAGCAAGAGAAGTACGGGCTCGTCTACGCTGAACCTCCAACCACCCACTTGATTTATGCTCTTCATCAAGATCAATATTAATATCAATATTATTAATATTATTATTATCTGTTTGTGTCAAAGAGTCTATGGGTGCCGTCGCAGGAGTAACAGCTGAAACATTAGGAGTAGCAACTGAGACACTAGGAGTAGGAGTTGGAACATTAGTCGAAGATATGGTCGTGGTTTTGACTGATTTGCTGTAGATCTTCCGTTTGTTCGAATGAATCATCGGCGCCTTAAGCTTATTATTAGCAATATCAGTGTGTACAGAGCATTGAACGTCTTCAGCATTACTAGATACACTATTTTGTTTCTTGTTATTATTTATTACAGCCATTGAATCAATTCTTTCCTCTAATTCCTTAATTTTATGGGTTAAAATATCTACTTTATTACAAAATTCCGTTTTAAATTGGTGGAATTGCTCAGTTATTATTTTACAAATTTTTGTAGACAGGCGTAATTCAAAATCCCCCTGCATCGATTTCAGTTCTCGCGCAATGAAGACATGCATCGCTTCAGGTGAATTATTGAGCAGGTCACTTCGTGCGGTCGTATGTGCATAGCGTAAACCAGTACGCATTGTAACATTATCAGGACTGCGAGTGCTATGCATAGATATATCCGGGGCGCAGTCACTGGCGATACTCATATCATGTACGAAGTGTTGAGTCTGACGTACGGGCGTTTGTGAGTTATCACCTTTCGGTAATTTGCTACGACACTCTACACAAATCCATGAGTTTTTGAATTCGTAAGTAAACGTAGCATATGCATTGTTGGTAAAATTCGCACATAAAATATCAAAAGATTGCTTACATTTTACGCAAGTCATGTACGCGCTGTCTTCAGTGATTATACCACGACATCCCGCACACGTAACGCCACACGCCATCATCATCGCCGGTCGAACACAGCACCCCGTTCTCGAGTCTTGCAGTGTAGCAGCAATGGAGTAGGTATCGCAGTAGTAGCCCCGCACAACGCGAGCGGTCGGCCGATGAGTCAACGCAGCGAGAGACCGGCGGGTTGTCGTAGGTCAGGCACAAATCAGTTATTAAATATTTTCAAAAATAATTCTCTTATATCTCCGTTGTTCCTGGGCGGAATTTAAAACAAATTGCACCACTAAGTAGCTTGGTTCACTGGCAAGAAAAGTATACTAAATTCGTATTCGAACTGCAAATTTTTACATTGTTTACAATTTTATTCGCGGAGCCGACTTCAATATAAGCTAATGCTCAGTTCCCTTTATTTTTGAATATATTTATAATATATATTTTAAGCCTTCAACTACTAAATGTTTAATTCTAAAGAAAATTTTACTAGAATATATTCCACGCGCACCAGACGGGACTCGAACCCGCACCATCCGCAATCCGAGCGGATGCACTGATCAATTACGCAACCGCGGTCCTGACGGCCGTGTCGGATTTTTTCTAATATTTCACTTAGATTAAAACAAAAAGGGTAGATACGGCACTAGCCTCACAAAAGTGATACGCACAAATTGTGGTCCACGACCCTAATCGCTTTAGTCACAACTTGACATGCAAACGACGTACATGTGAACGCCAAAAAGAAATATTGATAATATTTTGTCTTTATATGATAAAACAATGCCTAAGTATATTTTTAAAAAGTGCTCAAATTGCTCAAGAACTAAAAATAAAACCCACGGCATCACTTTTCATTCGTAAGTACTATAAAATATATTTTTTCATTAAAATTGCTGTTGGTTTGAATCTTATTCGGTAGTGACGTCGAGTACTGGTCGCGTGATTGGTCGGTAGTGCAGTGACGCGGATCTCGCCGTCTCGTTCGCGCTGCCGTTGAAACTTAACGTGATGTTTCGTTCGGGTCGGTAACGCAGTGACGCGGATCTCGCCGTCCCGTTCGCGCTGCCGTGGGATCAGTTTTTGTTTGATGCAAGTATGAGCGTACCGTATCTACCCTTTTTGTTTTAATCTAAGTTATTTCATCTAGTAAAATTTTCTTTAGATTTAAACATCGGGCAATTAAATGCTTAAAAAATACATAATATACATATATGTATAATAAAATGGTAGGAAAGTCAAAACTGTACCTGTATGTATGTCCGGGATAAACTCAAAAAGTACTGCATGGATTTTTTGGCGAATATTATTAAGAAGTCGGGTCAACATATAGGCTACATATTATCACGAAACTGCACCCCTAAGGGGATAATACGGGGGTTGGAAGTTTGTATGAAAGTCCTATGTTTTTGAAGTAAGAGACTTGAAAAACATGTATGCTCTATAAATGGTGTAGAGGTATACTAATAATGTATCTTTAGAAATAATCCTTTTATCTATAAGACATTACTATATTTCTTAGAAATTTATGCATTTTGTAACTTGTATTTCAGTACTATTAATATATTAAAAATATTTGGGCTCCACATATATGCCCAAGCTGTAGTCTAGCCCCGATCCCCGTTCGCTCTTCAGCCGAAGGTTAACGAAGGAGTGGCCGATGCCTCCAGCGGTAATATTGATGGACGCCATGCTATGGAGGTTGTCCAGCGCTTGAATACCCTGCAGAAAGGAAAACATGCTGTGTTAGAATAAAACAAAAAAGGTAAATTTAAAAAATCAAAAAACCCGACTGCTTTATTATACTTCAAATAAAAACTGAGAAGAAAAAGACAAGTCCAGTAGTCTATAATTCTGTTAATAAGGAACAAAGCTACTTTAACAGTCGGGACCCATTATTGAAAAATATTATGTTTTCTTGAATATCTAAGTTTTTCTAATTGAATTTTGATTACTATCATATCTTTAGTAGCACTTCCATGATTGAGACGAATCGATTGATGTATGAATCATCAAAATCGGTTCAGGCGTTTGGTCTCTAGTGTGCCACAAAGGAACAAACATACATATATAGACTGTTAAACACTATACCCTGTCTGCACGTCGCGCTTCGCGCTCTTGCATTGCGCAGTCGGGTAAAAAGGGAAGATACGGCACTCGAGGCTCAAAAATGATCCGCTTAAATTGTGGTGCATGACCATTCTATGTGACAAATGGAGAAAGAATTTCCAGGCTGCGAGGAGAGGCTGTGTGTGTGTCGGCGTGTGTGCGTGCGTGCGTGTGTGTGTGTGCTTGTCTGTATGCATGTAGGACGGTGAGAGACAAGGACTTCGAATAATACTATTCCAGTCGTTTATGCAGGTTTTCGGTTTGCATATAAGTCATGGACCTTGAGGTATATATGAGGTAATAGCCTTGAGGTGATAAAGAATGTTCTGTCTGTCTGTCCGCCTGTCCGTATGTCACGGGTCTTTAATGAGTACTGAAAGGACAATGGCGAAATATTTGTTGAACTAAATCTTTAGCGTCTATAGATGTCATTATCAGAAATGTTATTAAAATAATCTCAAAAGATTTATTAAACAATTGAGGAGGGTTGTCTAAGTCTGGAATTAAAAACTTAAATAAAGGTAAACATAATTGACTTTTTGGCGACGACCTCCGTGGTCGAGTGGTTTGTACGCCGGGTTTCATGGTGTCACCGACTCGAGAGGTCCCGGGTTCAAATCCCGGTGGGGGCAGATGTTTGTATGATGAATACGAGCATTTGTACTCCAGTCATGGATGTTTAATATGTACTTCTATATAAATATACTTATATATGTACTGTATATGTATTCTATCCGTTACCCTAGTATCCCATAATACAAGCCTTATAGTGCTTACTTTGGGGCTAGGCTAATTGGTGTGAGTGTTGGAAATATTTATTATTTATTTATTTATTTTTTTATTGTGGCTTGGCGTCATGGCTTTTGAGCCATTTATTTTAAGTGATTTTAGTGATGAAATCAACTTTAAATATGTTGTTCGTATGTTTTGCATCGCTTTACGCTTCAACTGTATTTAATTATCTATCAAAAATATCGGGAAACATTATTTTTCAATATTATACTGAAACCATAATAAAAAATCTCCACAATACAAAAAGAGTATGGCGCCAATTCTAACGTAAAAAACTATAACTGTCACTGTCATGCTTGCCATCGAATTGTTGTTGTTATTGTTATCAAAAAAGAAACAAAAAAATCCTTTAAATGAAGACTATGGCTGCATGGCTCTGCCTTTGCCTTTCCCAAGATGGGAAAAAAAGAAAAAAAAAAATATTGTTAAGTCCAAAAATATCAGATTCGGAGGAGGCAAGCACTACTCAACAGTCGCAGGAAAAGATTTCAAAAGTCCAATGTCACATAAAAAACAAATCTCAGAAAAAAACACAATGCGCCGATTCAAAACCTTGACATACTATTGCACAAGCAATTTCTTCTTCTTTTTCTTTTTTTATGGCATGCACGGTATGCACGGTTCTATGGCACAAACCGTGCATACCATAAAAAAAGAAAAAGAAGAAGAAGTTGCTTGTGCAATCGTATGTCAAGGTTTTGAATCGGCGCATTGTGTTTTTTTCTGAGATTTGTTTTTTATGTGACATTGGACTTTCGAAATCTTTTCCTGCAACTGTTGAGTAGTGCTTGCCTAAGACTTCCGAATCTGATATTTTTGGACTTCTTCCTGTGGATTTTGGACACGATTCTGTCCCATAATGTGGATTTTATTTCATTGTATCTACTATCTACGATATTGTGATCAAAGATGTAGAAATAAAATATAAAAGTATATTTAATTAATATCCCATTAGTACACTATTAGAAATCCTTTTATGAACGTTATTATTGCTGTGGGCATTTTCAAATTGTTAAGTACTTCTTAGTATTTCTTCTTCGTAAAAATACTCTTGAAAATACTTTTATAATTCGTTTTTGTATTACTTGGTATGACATAACCTCCAAAACTTCAAAGTAGAATATCTATAAATCCATACTTATCAAATCGAGAATCTAAACTCTATAATTTAACATGCAATTCATTTATAGACGCAAAAAAAATTATCAACAAAAATTTGTAGGGAGTTCGCCATTGTCCTTTTGGTGTGTTATGTAGAATGCTTGCCCAAAGCCGAATACATATGTATTTAGTTAAAAAAATGGGTGCGTGTACTTATGTAGGCGCGTGAGAAGTTATCCTTCTTTGGCATCGTTTAAAATTAGTTTTTAATTGCATGCAAATAATTAATTACAATAAATTAATAAAAAGTCTGGAAAAGGACACAGTCAATAAAGTTCAGTTTTAATTTGAAAAAATAAATAAATAATCAAAATATTCAATTAAAATCGCTACTGAATATAATTTATTAGAACATATGTGATTTGTGTTACGTAATGAAACAAAGGAGTCTGGCAAACAACTGATTTATTGATACCCACATTATGTTCATTACAAAATACCCACAACTTCCCCTTAGTTTTAAAATCAAAACGTAATTACAAATTGCCTTATTATAATTTAGCAAACAATAAAAGGAAATTACTTTATTTGCAATTTCTTGCTTTACTTCGAGTTAAAGGAGGAGAGAAGTCTCCTTGACAATCGGATGCTTCCTCATCTGAAAGCACATATTCTTCGTCTGAAACATCACGATAATCCTCATGTGCAGTATCATCATAACTAGCTCCAGCATTAGTTTCATTAAATTTCGTATCGGATATTTCAGATTCATCCCTACACACTGCCTTAATTAGATGTCGACGATTACGGCGATAAATGCCTCTTTTGTTCTTAATTACGTACGATCGCGGTGTTGGCGCCTTCTCAACAACGGTACCTCTAATTATTTTGTTATTGTTTTCTAACATAATCACGTTATCCCCGACATCCAACTCCGGCAGTGGTTTACAATGTTTATCATAATAATATTTACTTTTCATTTGCTTTTTTAACAACTTTTTATGGTTTTCTTTATCGTCACAACATTTTCGTTTCAATAAATCAGGATGGACTGGGAGTCTACATTGTAATCTTCGACCCATCATAAGCTGTGCAGGAGAATCCAAATCATCGCGAGGTGTATTTCTATAGCTTAATAAATTTAAGTAAAAATCAGAATCACTTTCAATAGACTTTTTTAAAATCCTTTTTATAGTTTGCACAGCCCTTTCACTTTTTCCATTAGATTGAGCATAATAAGGAGATGATGTAATATGGTTAAATCCCCACTCAGTAGCAAATTTTTTAAAACTGCGACATGAATATTGCGGCCCGTTATCATTTAACACTACTTCCGGTATACCATATCGAGCAAAATTTTCCTTCATGACAATTATAACCGATTTAGACGTGCAATCTTTTAATTGGGACACTTCTATAAACCCTGAAAAATAATCTACTAAAATCAAGTAAACTTTCTTGCCGTACTCGAATAAATCGGTGCCCACTTTATTCCAGGGTAAATCTGGAATTGGAATTGGAATCAAAGGTTGTTTTGCGGGTTTATTTGTATTCTCCTGACACGTCCCACATTTTCTAACATAAGTTTCAATATCCTCACTGATACCCGGCCAGAACAACACTTCCCGCGCTCGCCTCTTGCAACGGTCTATTCCCAAGTGGCCATCATGAATAATTTTCAACATTTCGGATTTTAATGATGATGGTATCAGAATTTGTTTGTTCTTAAATATCACCCCATCAACGCAATATAACTCTTCTTTCATAGAATAAAAGTATTTCAAAGAATTTGGTAAATCGTATTTATGTAAAGGCCACCCATTATTAATGAATAAAATTAATTCCTTCAACGTATTATCTTTGGCGGTCTCTTTTTTTATAATTGTAAGTTTATTTTTTGAAATAGGCATATTCTCTATTAACATTTGTACTTGATACAAAATCGAGTTACTGATCTCATCATCACACAATTCCGGCAGAGGCGCACGCGACAAAGTGTCCGGTATGAACATATATTTTCCTGGCTTATAAGTGACTACCAAGTCATAGCCTTGTAATTTAAGCATCATTCTTTGCAAGCGCGCTGGGATCGAATCTAATGATTTTTTGAAAATACTTTCTAACGGCTTGTGGTCCGTTTCAATCACTACTTTATTCTTACCATATAAATATTGGCGGAACCTTTCACATGCAAAAACAATTGCTAGCATTTCCTTTTCTATTTGTGCGTACCTAACCTGCGTGTGTGTGAGCGTGCGTGATGCATATTCTATTGGACGCCCCCCTTGCAGCAGCACCGCGCCTAGTGCCACACTGCTAGCGTCTACTGATACTACGACTGAGCCGCTAATATCATACAATGCCAACACAGGCGAATGACATAAAAGCTGTTTTAATTGCTCAAATGCACATTTATGCCCATGCTCCCAACTCCACGTGGTACCTTTTTTTAATAATCTAGTGAGAACATAAGTTTGTTCTGAATAGTTAGGTATAAATTTTGAAAGATAATTAACTACACCCAAAAATCTTTCTAAGCTTTTTCTGTCACTAGGCTCGGGCATATTAATTACGGCCTTTACTTTTTCAGGGTCCGGCTTCATACCATTTTTTCCAAAACAATGACCCAAATATGTTACTTCCTCTACACAGATGCGACATTTATCTTTATTAAATTTTAAATTAATTTCACGGGCCCTATTAAACAAAGCTTTCAAGCGTTGATCATGCTCTGACCTTGAACGACCCCAACAGATTAAGTCATCTATGAAAGAATCTACTCCTTCTAGACCCTCTAAGAGCTGCCTAATCTTTGCATGAAAAACCTCCGATGCACAATTCAATCCAAAAGGTAAGCGCAAGAACTGATATCTTCCGAACGGTGTAGAAAATGTACACAAGTCTGCACTATCTTTGTCTAATTTTATAGACCAAAAACCAGAATTGGCGTCTAAAACCGAAAAGTACTTCGCCCCCTGGAGCTTTACTGCAATATCATTTATCGTTGGAAGTTGAAAATGTGCTCGTCGTATAGCGACATTTAATGGTCTAGGATCCAGACATATACGCAATTGCCCATTTTTTTTAGGTACAACAACCAATGTATTAACCCATGGTGTTGGGTGAGTAACCTTTCTAATTACGCCCAAATTAATCATTCTATTTAACTCATCTTGTAACTTAACGCGTAATCCCAAGGACACATTACGACGGGCACATACAACGGGGGGCACGGACTTATCTATTACGATGTGATATTCACCAGGCAAGCAACCTAAACCATCAAATAAATCAGCATAATCAGATTGAATATCATAAATTCGTTTGATTAAACCTAATTCCAAACAAGCATGTCGACCCAGCACGCTTTGACAATCAAGATTAGCTATAGCAAATTTCAAATTATAGCTTTTATTTTTATACCACCACAGTAAAAAACAAATACCTTTTATTGGTATAAAATTACCACTATACGACTGCAATTTAATAGTATTTTTCGTATTTATTACATTCGGGTTAAAACCTAATGACAAGAATCTTTTGTAAGACAGGACATTAATATCTGCGCCAGTGTCTAATTTAAACTTTTCATGATCACACCCACCTTTCAATGTTTCATACCAGTCTTCTGAGCAGCTTTTCAACTCCGACACATTGTACAACATCGATATATAAAACGAATCACTATCATCACTTTGATCACTACGCACGGCAATATCGTGCATATTAAGTGCTTTATCATTTCTTTTAATTTTACACATTCGAGCAAAATGACCAAAATTTTCACACACGTAACATTGCACTGCCGTAGCCGGACAGGTGGCGGGCCCGGCACACTGACCGCCACACCTCACACAACGATACGGTGAACGCTGAGGGCGCCTCACAGCGCTGGAGCCCGTCGCAGCTGCGGCGTACCCTCGGCGCCTGACGCCGCCGGCACCACGGCCACCGCGGGCCCCACCGCGGGCCCCGCCGCTGCCACTACCACGCATGCCGATACTATCCACCTGCTTCGCAGATCCCAGACCTGCCTCTCGAGTCTCCAATAGACGGGTGCTGTCGCTGGATATTTCATCCACTTGACAAATCTTAATTGTTTTCTCCAAATTTAATTCATCAGTTCTCAATAACCGTTCTCGAACGACAGTGTTCTTTAAGCCACAGACGATACGGTCGCGAATCAAATCATCTTCGAGTGTTTTAAACTCACAAGATTTTGCTAATAACTTCAAACTAGTCACATATTGATTAATCGACTCGCCGACTTCTTGATTCCTTATAAAGAAGTTGTATCTCGCTAAAGTGATGTTCGGCTTGACCCCGAAATAATAATCAAATTTTTTGATGAGCACGGTGACGTCATCTCTCTCACTTTCTTGTTCAAATGTAAATGTTTGATAAACATCGAATCCGTCCGGTCCAATCAAATTTATCAATAGACTAGCTTGAACATCTTCTTTTTCTTTATGAACCCCCGATGCCTTGAGGAACAGATTAAATTGTGTCTTCCATCGTTTCCATGCATCAGCCCGGCTGACGGAGCTGCCTTCCAAACTCAACTCAGGCGGCGGTCGCGCGTGTTCCATATCGTACAATTTTAATTATTAAACCAATGGAAATTGTAATTTGTCACACGTTTTGACTGTCACAATTAGTTTTATCACGTAATTATTACAAAAACACCGCTGTCACCATGTTACGTAATGAAACAAAGGAGTCTGGCAAACAACTGATTTATTGATACCCACATTATGTTCATTACAAAATACCCACAATTTGCACTTGTATGAAACTCAAACACGTATTCCGAATATACAAACTAGAAAAATGTGGATAAATATTATAAATATGAATACCTATAACTGTTACTTTATTACAAAAAATAAAGATGTGGTTTTTGGTTCTACTACACCAATGGTCAAGAGATGGCGCTGTAGTCTCCTGAATCGCGCTTTGGTTCCGTTGTTCCAGATTAATAAATACTTGTGATAGGCCTTCACAATGCAGTCGTTAGCACCCACTAAATAGAGATTCTATTTCTATTTTGTTGGTAGATTTTCTTAATGTGCGGTAAACACTAAAAGTAACGCATGAAGTTGGTCGCTAAAGCGACCTCATCATTTTTTCATAACGCGCCTAAAGAAGTATAACTTCAAAAAATAATTAAAATATTTTTCATATGAGGTCCCGGATCTTTTGGTTTCGACCCCAAGTCTAATTGCGTTGGGCTATACGTCTCAAAATTACGGATACCTAATTTGTGTGAAATACTCTACTTTTGTTATATCCAATCTCAAGTCACAACGATACATAAAGAAGGTTTCATTTCAATAACAAAAAAAAACTACCAACGACTACAACGACATCTAGCGGGGAATTCATTAAATAATAGTTAAATATTTATTTGCGTTGCTTTTCTACTGTGCCATTATAAATATTAAACGTCTTTATGTACGGATTTAGAACAACAAGATGGATAAATTGTTAAAACTCTAAGCCCATAACTCCAGAGGGCCATGAGCGGACATTGAAAGATCTGTAATCGAATCGCCATCGTCAAATTTTGTATGGCAGGAGCTTGTTCTTGCGTCCGGTAGGGGCGCTGTATAGTTATCATAAAAAAAATTACGATACGATATGATTCACAAGCAATGGCATTTAATATCGTTGTTCACGAGATCTAACTTCGTGCTTGGTAATCTGGCTGTGTGATAAATGAATGAAATGAATGAATGAAAAGTCGTTTATTCAGTCTAGGCTGTTACAAGCACTTGTGAAGGTCAAGAAGCTACGCCATCGGTTCGCAAAACTACGGCGGGAGACATTGTACTGAGAAGAACCGGCAAGAAACTCAGCAAGGGCTGCTTTTTTCTACCTGTATTGATATATACGGAGTCGTTTAGTTGAAAATTGACTTCAGACATACTTCTGAAGTCACCTTCCATTACATTATTTAGGATAAAGATATATAGTTACAATAAATTTTATATTTAGTATATAGGAAGCGGCATTAGATAGGTACCATATTACTGTTACAAAACTGACTCATACTCATCAAATAAGAAATTACAAGAAACACTATGTCCATGCATTACGATCATTTAGATAATCATTAACTTTATAATAGGCCTTATTCATAAGAGTATTCTTGATCTGAGATTTGTGATAGGTTATTCCTATTGAACGTTTTTGCACGGAACCAGACACGTCTTTCCCAGTGGGCACTTTGGACATTTTCCAGGGCCCTGCGATTGATAGGGGGCCCCCTCAGACCAAATACAAAGTCCCTAGTTCCTGTTAAATCACCAAACGCAAGTCATATGGGCCCCATTATCCTAATACTAGCCGTGCCCAGCGGTTTCACCCGCGTTTTTCTCGTTTCCGTGGAAATACCGAGATAAAATATATAGGTACCAACTCTTAACATCCTTACACACGTGATAACTTTTAAACGAAATATCCGATTGAGATGAAACAAAAAGTATTTTACTTCTACATAAATACTCTTGATAACATAATGCTTCATTTGGATAAAGATTAATATTACGATATATTTAACGTAGTTTTTTTTTCTTTAGACGATTTAATAATTATTTTGAACACAAAATCGGTTATTGTAATTAAACCATGATAGCTATATATATGTTCTTGCGGAATTTTTTGTAGGTCTTAATGGGATCTACAAACCCGTAGTACATCATTTTGTTCTATTGTCAATAGTTTTTGCAGCGCACGCAAAAATAGGTTTTCGATTTTACGCCTTGTGTTACAAAATAGCAATTTTATTACGGATTCCTAATTTTAAAAAAAATATATAGCCTATAGCCTTCCTCGATAAATGGACTACCCAACACTGAAAGAATCATTCAAATCGGACCAGTAGTTCCAGAGATTAGCGCGTTCGAACAAACAAACAAACTCTGCAGCTTTATAATATTAGTATAGAAGTATAGATATGCTTAGGGCCTCCAATAGGTCAAAGACGACACTGCACGAAACCTTAAAATTAAAGTATAATCCCTTACCACAATCTTCCTATTATCCGGTTGCGTGTAAAAGTACTGTTTCACCCTTTTCATGAACGGAAATGCGTTGTATTTTATATTTGTTTGATGTTCCAGCATTCCAATAGCTATGTTGCCAACATTAAAATGAGTTGCTGTAACGCAACAAGTAGTGAACGCAACCAGTAACATCACACACGCCTTCATATTGTCAAAATATAACTTCACTTGAACAATGTATTGTTCTTATATAAAACTAAATAACTTCACTTCATTAGGCACGTATTGTGAATACAATCAATTTCTGTTAGCGAGAGCACACGAGTGACAATGTTTGTGTGATGAACGGACATAGAATAGTAAACATTGCAATAAAGATCTTGAGGTCAACCCACAGGGTCGACTGGTTACTGGGGTGTCCATAAGTTATATGAGCTTAGGTTTTTACATAAATTCACTTAAATGCAGTTAAGTACATTAAATTACATTACACGATGATTTATTTATATGACTTTAAATATATATATATGTATAAAACTCAAAGGTGACTGACTGACATAGTGATCTATCAACGCACAGCCCAAACCACTGGACGGATCGGGCTGAAATTTGGCATGCAGGTAGATGTTATGACGTAGGCATCCACTAAGAATGGATTTTGATCAATTCTACCCCCAAGGGAATAAAATAGGGAATGAAAGTTTGTATGAAGCTTTGTCAATTTTAAACCGATCGGGCTGAGACTTTGCATGCAGGTACAAGAAGAATCATAGATGAATGTCATTGTGTATAATACAAGCCTGAGAACAAAAACTGTAGTCTACACTACAGCTCTACACCGAAGCGAAGCGAGGGAGGGCCGCTAGTATATAATATAAATAATATGTTTCATAAATAACAAAATTATATAAATTCATATTGGTTCAACATTTGGTTTAGATTACATTTCATTTTATTTATAATACAACTTAAATATTGACAAGACGCACTTTATCCATACATCATTGTTTCAATCCTAAAAATAATACATACTAACATATCATTTAATTGAAATATTGTTACCAATGATTTAATGGACCGTTTTGTTGTATTGAATAATGAATTTGAATTATTTAACAAAGTTTTTTTCTTTGGAATATGTTTGTTATACTTAGCAAGGTTTTTTTTACTTGATAAGATTTTAATTTTATACAACATATTGCAAACTGATCTAAAAATATGTTATTAGTGGAGAGGTACGAGTATGTACAAAAACAAACACAAAAAGAGTTTATTATACTTTTATTTGAAGAATTTACACGCACTCCTAGATTTATAGATGTAGTAAAATTTTCAAAACGAACAAAAAAGTTTGATGCCTGGGGTCCATTCGCCTAACGGAAATGCTTTTGAAAACGCTAACGCTTACCATTTCATTTTGTTATTTCTAGCCGCCTGAGGTTTTCAAATGCCTCGCGCTCTTTTTTTTCTTTTGCATTGGTAATAACAATATTAAAAAAATGAGCGTGAGGTATTTGAAAACCTTCGGCGGTCAGAAATAACAAAATAAAATCGAAAGCGTTAGCGTTTTCCTAAGCTTTTCCGTTAGGCGAATAACCCCCAGGTCCGCGTGTTTGTATTTTTGACTAGTAAAAATTTCTATTCTAATATGTACTAAAATATTTTTATTATAAGCATTTAATTATCAGCTTGTTTTTAGTTCAGACAATTATTTATTAACACGCTGCTGTTGTTAAAATAACAGAATTAAAAATAAGGCGACCTCCGTGGCCAAGAGGTTTGTACGCCGGGTTTCAAGGTGTCACATACTCGAGAGGTCCCGGACTCGAATCCGGGGGCAAATGTTTGTATGATGAATACTACTAGCATTTGTACTCCAGTCATGGATGTTTAATTGTATTTATTTATATACTTATATATGTATTATATCCATCATCCTAGTATCCCATAACACAAGCCTACAGTGCTTATTAAAATAAGCCCTAAAGGGCTAGGCTAATAGGGTATTTGACAGTGTTAAAAATAAAGTACCAATTGTTAGCATCTGTATATAATGAATATTGGCAGGGGTTTTTACTATTTTTACAAAAAAATATTCATAATTTTACTAAAAACTAACGAGAAAGATAATAGTTTTCTTATCTATTGTCACGTTACCCAAAACGCTTGGGATTGGCGGAGCCTAAAATGACGTCACACGCAAGTAAACTTCCGGTTAAAGTGACATTACATTGTATCGTTTGACGTTTTAATATCAGTCATGTGACATCACACACTAGTAAGATGCCATATTGTCTAGAGAAACGTTTTCGCGGCAACTTGAAAATGGAGTTTTTGATTTGGTTATTTTTACTGAAATACACAACAGAATGATGAATATCCACTTTTTACTGACTCCATAAACATTAGTCAATAACGTGAGATCGTTTTCTAAAACTTGTCAAATACCCTATTGTTGTATCTGTTGAAAATATTTATTTATTGAAAAAGTAATAAATACCAGCCAGAGTTGGAACTGCACACCAAGGCGGAACATCCATCTATACGACATTAGAAGTGTCTAATGTCGTATAGATGTCGTATACACATGGATAATATACTAACCAAACTCAAACAGTAACTGTATTACATAAACTTAGAAGAATAGTAACTAATATATTTATATGAATTTCTACACTGCTTATCGCTATTTCACACAAAATATCCATATCAAGATAGTATAAAAAATATTTTTGAAAATTCAGGTTTGTACGGAACCCTCGGTGCTCGAGTCCGACTCGTACTTGGCCGGTTTTTTTTTTAATGTAAGTATCTATTGTTTTTTAATAAAAAAATGGGTGCGTGTACTTATGTAGGCGCGTGAGAAGTTATCCTTCTTTGGCATCGTTTAAAATTAGTTTTTAATTGCATGCAAATAATTAATTACAATAAATTAATAAAAAGTCTGGAAAAGGACACAGTCAATAAAGTTCAGTTTTAATTTGAAAAAATAAATAAATAATCAAAATATTCAATTAAAATCGCTACTGAATATAATTTATTAGAACATATGTGATTTGCACTTGTATGAAACTCAAACACGTATTCCGAATATACAAACTAGAAACATGTGGATAAATATTATAAACTAGCGGCCCGCTCTCGCTTCGCTTCGGTGTAGAGCTGAAGTGTAGACTACAGTTTTTGTTCTCAGGCTTGTATTATACACAATGACATTCATCTATGATTCTTCTTATACCTGCATGCAAAGTCTCAGCCCGATCGGTTTAAAATTGAGAAAGTTTCATACAAACTTTCATTCCTTATTTTATCCCCTTGGGATTTTCTTTATATTTTTTTCCGTAAGAACCTTGTACAGAGTATTAGAAAACTACAAAAAAAAACAGCCAAATCGGTCAAGCCGTTTTCATGTTATGTCGTGACAACGGAAAACGGGTTTCATTTTTATATATATAGATATGAAAACAGTCTCTGTTCTAAATTCAAAACTCGTAACTTTTCCCGATGTTTGTTGCACGTGTTTCCCGCGCTAGGACCGCGAGTGGCCGCGCATGCGTACGGTGCGGCGGGCGACGCGGTAATGGCAGCGCGGCACACGCGCGCTGAAGCGACCAACTTCATGGTGTTAATTTTTTGTGTTACAGATGCGCGCGCATCTTAAAATTTCACTCTCATATTTTTTTTATAACGCGCCTAAAGAAGTATAACTTCAAAAATATTATTAAATAGTTGATAAAAATTTAATGAATAAGGACTTGGATTTAGCTTACATATTTAGCTTCGTGTTTTTAATGTTCTCCAAAGGTTGACTGGGAGAGCGCGCTATTAGCATACAATTTTGCCTTCTGCACCGTTCTATTGTATTTCTGGTCAATAAAACTTAAAAATAAATATAAAGTATGAATGAATGAATTTCTCTATGCCTAAAGGTTGACTGGCAGGAAATGCTTTTAGCGTTAAGTCCGTCTTTTGTCCATTTTTGTAACTGTGGCAATAAAGTTTAAATAAATAAATAAATAAATAAATAAAGTAGGTACGATTGATAGTGATAAAAGATAATCATATTTTTTTTATACGCGCCGTCTCGAAACTATGGTCACCCCATAGAGGTCAACTTGCGGGTAAATAAATTATCATCACAATAAGATATCTTTTGACCGAACATAGCTGAGAGAAGTAGAATGAGATAGTCTTTACATTTAACAAGCAAAATCGATACAAAATTTAGTTATTTAGAGGTTGATCTAAACGAAATAATTAATAAATAATAATAATATAATAAATAAATATGTTCAACACTCACACCAATTAGCCTAGCCCCAAAGTAAGCACTGTAAGGCTTGTGTTATGGGATGCTAGGGTAACGGATAGAATACAAATATTGTACATATATACGTATATTTTTATAGAAATACATATTAAACATCCATGATTGGAGTACAAATGCTCGTATTCATCACACAAACATCTGCCCCCACCGGGATTCGAACCCGGCGACACCATGAAGCCCGGCGTACAAACCACTCGACCACGGAGGTCGTCGCAATTAGATCATATGTGAAGGATCACTGTAGTTTTATTCCCCTTTTTTGGAAAAAAAAATACGCGTGGCACTCGGGTACTGCCGCGGTAAAAGCTATTGCATAGCATTTTTTATCAACTTATGCAATTATAATCATTTATTTATTTTATTTATGCAGTATTGTTTTTTTTCTTTGATATTAATTCAAGTTACACTTTTTGAGCGTGGTGACTGATATGAAAACAATTATTTTCTTTTATTGAATAAATGACAAGTTAATATTGTTTAAAATATCGTACCATATACATGCTCGTTAAGGTTCAACTAGTCGCGGGCTCGAACTCATTTTTTGGGCGGTACGTGTGAAAAAAGTAAAGTAAAGAAGTGTTTCTCAATTGCAAAATTTAATTTAATTATTTCTAGTAAAATTAACACATTGTTTTAACGCTTATTTGAAGATCAAGGAAGTGAATTAGCATTACTTACGTTTGCAATAACTTATATGTAAAACTAGCGGCCCGCCCTCGCTTCGCTTCGGTGTAGACTTTTTGTTCTCAGGTTTGTATTATACACAATGACATTCATCTATGATTCTTCTTACACCTGCATGCAAAATCTCAGCCCGATCGGTTCAAAACTGACAAAGTCTCATACAAACTTTCATTCCCTG